GAGATCGTTTACTGTTTGCTCAAAGATTGTCTGATTATTACGTTTCACCATGGTCAATTTAAAATTCTCCTCGCCAGGGTGGTACTTCACATTATGCTCTGAGAGCGCATCATATCTTTTGGTAAGGAAATTGCATTCTACACAAACGTAGGATGAATTTAATACTACGTTGGGATGCTCCGAATCCACGTGAAAAGTAAACATATTGAGATCTGGCGTTTGGAAAGTACAGTATTTACATTCATAGCCTCCTTCTACTTTCAAATTCTTCTGATTGTCGGGATCCCCCCCGTCGGGGACGTCCTCGTCGCTCGCGGCGCTCTCTGCCGGGGGCTGCTCGGCCGGCGCCAGCGCGGGGGCTGCTCCCTCCGGGCCCGCCGCCGCCTCCAGATCCGGGTCCTGCTCGCTGGCCAGGACCATGCACGGGGTGGTTGACTTCCGCTTGCTTGCCATGCCTGTTGCGCGACAACGGCACTGAGCAGTCGGACACACACTCGGCTCCGAGCTCTTCTTCAGTTATAGTAATGGCTTTGGGTACTTCAAGTCAGTTCTTGCGACGTCTCAACATTTATCCCATTAGCAGCTTTTCTTTTATAGTGCAATCGGATTAAGAATAGATAGTTGAGGATGAAATGTTGAGACACACTGTTTTAAAGTCCACATCCACCACCTGTAGCAAAGTAGAGACAGCGTGATTAGTTCAATTTAAATAACTAATTTCTATTCTACTATAGACTACGGCTACAAGTAATTCAGCCCTTAGGGGTTCAACCTGTCACCGCTCATCTCCTGAAACCAGCGCCCCCATTCCAAGAAGAGACGCTCAAAGATAAGGTAAGGTAAAATAGTCTGAAATTTGTTTTAAATTCACGCTAATACAGTAAAAGGTGCAAAATCTGGGATGGTATAAACTGAGGAGCTGGGTCTCGTTTCCCTTTCCTCAGCAGCCGTCAGCCTGGCACAGCACTGAGGTCACCTGTGCTTTTGCCTGCGGGCGGCCTTGTCTGAGCTGCTTCTCCCAACTGCCCTGTGGGCACCAGCCCCACAGCCCTCCCCAAAGCCCCCCCTCTGCCACCCCCTGCTCGTGTTTTCATGCCAGAGCTTGTGAAAAGGCAGGTTAAGAGGGTTTTTCTGCTGCACTAAGTGGGTACGTGCAAGTGCAGGGGGGCTTCTCTCCCCGGTCCCAGAACAGACAAACCGATGCTGCTTGAAGGCAGAAGATCCTTTCTTTCTGCCCAAATGTCACTCACCATTCCACCACCAAGCCAGACCAATAAAATTTGATTGCTGGCACATGGCAATTAACTAAAATCTATTTTCATGGCTCTGTGCATTAACGGGGACATGATTGAGAGAACTGTACCAGAAAAACGCATTAAGACTGAAATAGTAAGCAGAAGCCAAACGAAATTCTGTATTTTCTGTTAGAAAAATAGATACCAAATAAAACGGAGACCCGAACAAACTCGGAGAGTAAGTATATTCTTAAATAGCATAGACTGGAGTGCATTTTATCCCACAGGGGCCACAGTCAGCGTCTTGGAAATAACACAGAAACTACCACAGAGGGTTGTAAACCCTGCAATAATTTTCTTCTTGAAATAAAATCACACACTGATCTCTCAGAGCAGAAAGCCCTAAGATATGTCATTTTTTAGGCAGTGCAACATCATCTACTTCTCGAGGTGGCTGCATGCTCAAGTGAGAGAAAAACACTTGGTAGCCACCTCTGTTGGCTGTCTCAGATGCTTTTAACAGGTTAAAAACCCAAGGCTGGTTTGGCTCGTGACACAGTTTTAAAGGAAAAGAAGAGGGCAGAAGGAAGAAAGGCAGACTCAAGAAATACTGTTTTCTACAGCATGGTAATATGATTCATTATTTTTGATTATGAGGATGGCAGAGGCTGCGGATGGGAAAGAAATGAATAATTCTTAGCTTCACATTTTGTTTAGAAAAAAAAATGTTCATCCACATAGTGTTGCTGCCACACAGAGCTGTTCTGTAAACTCTTTTCAAAGGTGTGGGTTGCCCCTCACTTGTTTCATAATAATCCCCCTCCATGTTTTTAAACAGTGACCCTCCGAGTTTACCTGCACCAGCTCTGTGCCTCCCTGCAAAAGCACAGCCTGCTCTGATAGGCTCTTCACGCTGAGTTCCTGCAGGAATCCTCACCCCAGAACAACAAGTATTTAATAGCAGCGGGCTTGAAAGGTCCCTTCTCCCCCAAGCCGGAGCGCTGGCAGTCTGTAAAACTGTGCGCAAGCCTGAAAGACATTTATTTCAACGTACATAAAAGCACATCCTGCAAGCCCTGCCGTTTACCTTGGCAGCGAGAGAAGCGGGAGGCCGAAGGAACCGGATCCCGTCGTGTCCCCGTCCTGCGGGATGGGGGAGCCGCTGGCCACACGGCCTCGCGGCTCTTCACAAAGGACAGCACTTGCCAACACCGAGTGTTGAGTAACTCTCCCGGGGCAGAGCTGGGTGGTATTACCTAATCCCTCGGCCATCTTGAGTAAAATTTCAGAAATGCCAGAAATGCCCATTGTCCGAAGCTATCGGAGGGCTCCCGACTCCAGCTGCAGGGCCTCATCCGCGCTGCGCGACGCTGGGTCTTGGCCCCGGCAGCCCGCGTGGCTCAGAGCTGACGGGAGCTACGGGAAGGCATCACCGACCGGGCACGCAGCGCTGAGGACGCTCAAGATACATATACATATATAATAGATATAAGCTGAATCTCTGTAACACATCCCTATTTTGATTTGCTGTGGCTAAGTGTGGCTCCTGCGCACGGGCAGATGATCCTGACCCTCTGACCTTTCCCAACCAAGCAACACGTTTCTTTGCTGCGAGCAGGTTTCAGATGAAGAAAGGTTCGTTCACACTCTCCCAAGGCTTTTTTTTTCCCCAAGAGGATGTTGAATTTCCAAAAACCTGTGTTTATGTCAACACAGGGCTATGAAGAGCTACAACGGCCTTCGCTACAATCTCAGCGCAGCGACGTGCCTGCGACCCCTGCAGCCTTCTGTCCTCTGCAAACCCCAGTCCCCCTTCCTCTTGCTGCTGGCAGGATTATTCCATCTGCAGCGTCTGCTTCACACGCTCCCTCAGTTTACTGGGGGATTCCAAAACCCCAAAGCTGAGTCGTTTATCGAGCTGACTACGAGCCACCCTTATGTGTCACTTCATCCAAGTCACCTCCCCGCAGGATCCTGACCCAGGTATCTTGGCTTAGCAAGCGTTGCAGCATCCCTGTTAGCTGATTTCAGTAGGCAAATTACTCTGGCAAATACAAACAAACAAAAAACAAGCCTTTATCTTAACAAAATCTGTTTCTGTCAATCCACTTTTTTTTTTTTAATGAACTTTTTTGTTGTCTAGGTGCTCCAGAGTGTTTTTTGGTAAATTCTCTCTGTGGAGAAACATCTAGTTGATTGATCTGTATATCCCCCAGTGTTCTCCACTCCTCTCCTGCTCGTGCCTCTCATTTAAGAGCAGGTATCACGCTTGCTCCAGCCCCCTGGGACCATCCCAGCCTCCATGAATTCTTAAAGGCCACCACTAACAGCTCAGAGGTTGCTTTGGCTGGTCCCTTAAATACTTGAGGGCCAGTGACATAAGGTCTGCATCACGATTCGGTATCATTTCAGCTTTCCTCTTCCTGTTGAGCCCTGAGTTGTATCCCTTAGTGTTAATATTGAAGTCACACTGTGCCATTCGGTTTGTCACGACATGCTTCGGGTGGTGGTAGTTGTCAAAGCGGCATTTTTGAGTATTGAAAGAATTTGGAGAAAAGAAATTTTAATTAGTTCCACTGTTAGCCTCCAAATATTACTCGTTATTGCAATCCCCTTTGGGGATTTTACCTCAGGTTTCCCTGTGGGCTACATTCCCAGCAAAACAAATCCACAGAACAGACCATTCCCAGCAGTACAAAAATCTAGGTACAAGCACACGCTTCTGAAGCCTCAGTCATGTCTTTGAACAGGCAGTCACTCAGGAAGCTGCTGTTCACAAATGGTACAGAAACCGTTAACGATCCCAATTCATTAACTGTTGTTTCAACAGAGGTTTGTTCTCCAGAGTGAAATTCAACACCCAAAGTTCTCTCTCTGTCAGGTTTGGATAAAGCTTTAAATAAACATTTTCTAAATGCAGAGAGAAACCTGCTGCCTCAGAGCTCAGAGAGGGAAAAGCTGAAGGGTTGAAGTAGGAGATGTACATAAAAAAAGCTGCTTCTCACACAAACTTTTACCTACCTCTTCTCCCCTCCCCAGCAAGAGGTAGCTAATGCAAAGAGGGATAAATGAGATTACAGAAAGGGTTGTTTTTATTTGCTTGCTGCATGACCCTTTTATTCAGCAGGCAGGCAAAGGGGGAAAAACAATCAAACCCAAACAATGTGATTGCAAGAACACGAACAAGATGCCCCTACAACGAGCACGGTCGTTTGTGCTACTGTTCTTGACACGTGAAAACATAACTGCGCTTTACGCCTGCCCCTGCGGATGCTACGGATGGAGCGG